CCCCCTCCCCCCCCCACCCCGCCCCCAAACACAAGCATCATGATTTCACACAACGAGATTGAGCGGCGTACATCCCAAATGTGTGAGAGTGCCTTTGGTCACGTTAAGAAGGAGCCGCTTCGGCCTGTCTCTCAGCCCACCAATCTGCCACTCCACACATACACAAGTGGGCAGGCTGCGTGGACTGAGTTGGGGCGTCAGTCAGCAGCCTTCTAAGCCACAGTGCTTGACGCGCCGTGATAGTCTCAGACTTGAGTCACACAGGCAGCAGTGGAGCCGTATGGAAACGGAGGTTTGCATACATATCAAAGCGGACGCCCTGATCTTCGTAAATCATATTCTTTAGATCCTCGAATGTGGTCATTGGAGGTAAACGAAGGTGCTGACAATGGTTACGAATTTGGTTCTCCGAAGAGGCAGGTGCTGGGTAATCAGACGGTCGTTGGTGCCCTGCAGCAAACAGACAAGTTGCCAAGCTATGTTTTTCCGGATCGCAAGGATGTCGCTCTGCCTCTGGGCGTCCGCTTCGGGCGCCCACCTCCTCACTACCCTCCCCTTAATGCTTATTATTTCTCGAGCGACCAATGCTGTCGTCCTCTCCGGTCAGTTGCTTTGAGTGTTGTCTAAAAGGGAACGGACATGGCAGGCTGTCACAACGAGTCGTCACCATAACAGCTTGTGGCATCAGATAGCGGTGGCTGTTACGTAGGTTATCTCGACCGCATCTTTGCATCAATGAACTCCTGCCAGCTGGTAGACGGAGTGATTTTCTGGTATTTGTATAGGACCCATTGCCACCCCCTTCCACCGTGGGGGAGTAAAGAGTGACACCATTAAGTAGGCCTTCTTAGACATCCAAGCTGGCTGCCGAATCTAACGCTGCGCCACAACTTGTTTAGTGGAGAGACGACCCCAGTTAACCATAGCCGCCAACGTGGTTGTATGTCGCCTCTCCCTCGGAAGTTTTACGTATGGAAGGAGAAATTGTACAAAAAACATGATGATCGAGTATACCGACACAAACGCACACCGAATTTTGTCATCTCGTTTAGGTTGCCGGTCAAGACGCTTACCGGTGTGAAGTATAGTAGCCTGAGACGAGAGATGATGTATGTAGGATCATGCTTAGACGGCAATCAGCGCAGCCGCTGCGTTAAAGGAAGCTGACGTACGGGGGTAAGACTCCGCCTCAACACAGGACTTGCAGGGGCTAATAAGCGCCTGTGTAAGCGCGTTCTACTTGGGCTACTGAGATCGAATACTGCAGTCTCCCGACTCCACCAGTCAATCACTGCGTCCACACGACGACAAATGCTGTTGAATGATCTAAGAGGTATAAACAACTATCTCGGGAAAGGATTCGAGGGTCAACGGTGCTACACCGTGGAAAATTGACAGCCAACGTTGTCGCTTCAAGTGATTGAAAAATGCATGAATAATCCAGCTAATGCTCACGTGGTCCCTAAGATTGCCTTTCCTCGTGTCTTCAAAGCACAAAGTACATTTGAGAATCCACTGGAGCCAGCATGACTATGGCGGAGCCTGTCCGATATTTGTGACTGCTGTGTTCCTCGTAAGCGTAGGGGGGGGAGAGACAAACAAAAAGTGGGCTGCTTGAAGAATTGCTTCCGGAAATTTACGCTATTTTCTGTATCGACAGTGGGTAACTATCATTAGCACAGACACAGGCAAACCCTTCTTGCATCGAAAGCTCTGTCACTATCCGTACGGTAGATTTGAAATGAGCTTCCTGATTTCTCATCTATCACCGTACACTTTCTGTCTGTTCCCCTCGTGGACTTCCGGACTCATCGCTCTATACGTCATTGGCTGAGTCGTGGACGTGATCTGGTTAATAATGAGCATTCATCATGGAACCACATAGTTCTTGCAGGAATAGTCATTGGCTACTCTTAGTCCTCCAGTAAGGCATTTCTCTTCTGGGCTTCGTCTCCTTTGCTAGTGTAGTCAAGGCGAATGCAGAAGGCTAAGAGACCGGAACAAACTTCCGGACTCTGCCTACCCAAACTCACACTGACGTACAAAGTAACTGCAAGAATACAAGGCCAAACAAAATCAGTCTTTATTAAACACGTATTAGACTGTAAAAAATAACATTACAGGTAGTGGGATGAGAGATCCTGAGTCCTAGTAGGCAGGCATACTTAGTCTTCTGTCAGTGGTCTGTAGCGACATCCACAAAAGAGTCGTCTGAGGGCCTTAATTACGCTCCTTTTTCTTCTCCTCCAGCGGCCTTCATGCCAGCCTAATTGCGTCTGAGGGATAAAGAGAAGACTGACTCAACGAAATGACAAATGCATAAGAGAGGTTATAGTAGTCAGCACATAGTGCCATCTGTGTGCATTAATTCCGGTCTAGAACTTACCGCGTCCACATAGAAATACGAAGGCGTGGGCCCTAAAGCAAAATAGACAGGAGACGTGCTAAACCTGGTTCAAGTGTTAATAGTTGAGTTTAGTAGATATGAGAGTGACAGGCGATGTCTGCTAAAATCTGTGGGTAAGGAATCATGTGAGGATATTGTGACCGATTCACATTCTTGTAGGTACGCAACCCAAATTCCCCAAGAATTAGTGCTTAACAGTGTACAGATGTGGAACTATAACCCTCCTCATTTCTATTGGACGTAGAATGAAGTTATCAATACTTCTCCAGACTTATGAACAAAGCATTAATTTCTTATGCTGGAAAGTGCATCACTACCAGACAAATGCTGCATTCTTATTATAGGACTTACGAGGGGAAATCTTCCAATCATGAAATGACTCCGCAGACGGATGTGCCGGAGACTCTGTCGACAACGACTTGGAGGGTTCTAGGCTGCTGGAACTTTGATTGAGATGACCGAGTAATGGTTCACTAGCGAGCGAACTGCCATCGTCCTTGTCTGCAAAAGTTCCCTTCTTCAGGACGGCGACAGTACCGGTTGAGAGTCCTGCGAAAGCGAATGCGTTTTATGCATTCTTGTAGGCCAAATGGAGGATGCAGACAGAAGCGGACGTACCCTGGGCCTTGAGTTCGAGGAATTCGCATCGTGCGCACCAAGATCCACCTCCCTCTACTCCTCTAAGCGATCCGTGCGGATCACGTTCAGGACATTTCATTTGGAAGTGGATTGGTCGTTCCCCTTTTGAGATAACTTCTCCGTGGGATGACTGAATTCCGTATCTAGATAAGAAGTAGGAGTATTTAAATAGAATGAATGGTACGAAAATTGATCGGGAGATACGCCTACCTGAGCATCCTCGAGGAGCCAGTATATTTGAGCGCTGAAGAGCTTGGATATCTGAATGAATGACCCTGTGGTGGTGCTGGTGGTGGTGCTGAACTTGGATGGGGTGCCACCAGAGAGGATGCTTTGAAGCCGTTGTCGAATATTCTGTCTTTGCTGCTGTCGCTGCTGCTGCCGTTGCTGCTGCCACTGCTGCTGCCACTGCTCCTTCCTTGGCTGTCAGTTTTGTTGCTTCTAATTTCGTCATTGGTTATAATATTTCCTTCGCTGCTGTTGTTGTTGCTGATGTCGCCGCTGCTGCCGATGCTGCTTCCGTTGCTTCTGTTGCTGCTGCTGTCAGTTTCACTTTTATCATTATTTTCCCCTCCTTCTTTGCATCTGCTGCCGTCACTACTGCTGTCGCTGTCGTTGCAATTTCCGATGTTGTCACAATCGATTCCGTTCGTGCCACTAACTCTGCTGTCGCTGCTCTTTTCGCTTCTGTTATGGACCTTGTCACAGCCAATGTTCCTTCTGCTGCTGCAGCTGCTGCTGCCGTTTTCGCGGTCCCGAGTGATACCGTTATCGCTGATATCACCGTTTCCGTTGCAGTCATTTCTGCTGCTGCTGCCGCTGCTGCCGCCGTGTTTAAAGATCTCCTCTAGTTCCCTCGTTTCACCTTGCTGTTGGTGCTGGGGTTCCCGAGATCCGTAGACTGGATCAGTGTATAGATTGTCCTTATGAGTGTAATGCTGCTTATGCTGGAGAAGGAGACTGGTGACCGGAGGATCTTGTGTTTTAGGCCGGAGGCTGGTTGAAGTAGCATTAACTACAAAGTAGAGGTAAGTAGACCAAAAAATTTACATGGCAGATAAGAATGATCTTAATCATGCAGCATCAGGGCTCATGGGAAACTCTGATCGTGTGCTCTAATTGAAGCGAACATTCATTTAAGACACTCCCTACTACATTTCATAATTTGTCTGACAATCTCTTATCAGTATTAGAGCAAAAAGTTCGACAATATGCCCTTCCTCACTGTCAGTCTACGACTGCGCAAGATAAAAAACGACAATCGGACGAAACCAGATCATAGTTCAATTTAAAAACCTAGCTTCGAAGCAGCCAATGCGGTAGCAGTCAAAACTAACAGAGCACTCACCAAGGGGCGATTCTATCGAGTTCCGAGATGGGAAGAGATAACGCAAAATCAAGCTAGTCAGGGACCTGAAGGCATGCCTAACCTTATGTTGCAGCAATTCAGGAACAATAAGGGCGATAATGAGGCGAAGGAAATTATCCAAAAAGTTAAACATCATCTCTAGACTGTCTGACACACGATAAACCACCAACTCTGCATTCATTCTAACGAAAAAGTATCGACCGATATTTCAAAGACCCTGACACCGTGTTAGATCGATGGGCAAGCGCATCGCGTGTGCGTGCTGGGTATCTGCATGTTCGTTGGACCGTTGCATGCGTAATCTACTTTAGACACGTAGGTAATCCTTTTTAATGTCATCGTGTTAACTTATGGACGCTTGCCCTTTGTCTACTCGTCAAAAAGCGCAATTACATGCTAAGCCAGAATGATTTTAATAATTGAGGAAATTCTTTTTCCGAATTGAAGCTAAATAACCGTCAGCAACGTTTTTGCCTCACTTTTGTTTACTTTACCCCGGAAGTCCGTTGTCTTTTTTCGTATCCCCAGTATGTTGATTCTACTTTTCTCATTATTTCATAATGATAGTTTTCCCGTCCTTATGCACAGTCTGACATGCACATGACTTTTTATTTCGTGTTTATGAATCCCATTCGCGAGTGTGATTTGTCTTTGCAGTTGCATTGTATGCACGCGTGAAACAGTTTTAACGGACGGGAATAATCCACTTTTAAATTAATTATAGGCGAACTGAACTGCTTTCTCGTCGTATGTTTGGCATCTGATGAACGCGCAAGAGGTTAATCGGCATCAGCTTTAATCGAGCAGATTACTTAGTTAAGGAAAATTGTACTTGCAGCCAGTCTATATGCCTTACAAAAATACCGCCTTTTAAGTGACTTGTTTTTTTCGATCTGGCAAGCACTCCTTGACCAGGAAAACTTCAGTAAATGCCTGGAAACTCGCTCAAAAATAATACTTCGTTAACATCTGTCAGATTTCGCTCTAGTCGTACACTCTTCCCGTGACACAAAACTGTATAGCAGTGTAACAAGGGGAATACTTGAGAGAAAAAGGTGCAGAAGAAAGAAAGAAAAGGAAGTCTACCTCGTTTGAGCGCAATACTTGAGTTTTATGACTCCTGTGGAGTTGTTGGTGGTTTCGATGGTGGTGATGGTGGTGGTGGTGGAGGTGCTGGAGGAGGAGGAGGAGGAGGAGGAGGAGGAGGAGGAAGAGGAGGAGGAGAACCACAACGGAAGGTTTACACCGGCGCTTGGCGTTCTAATTCGCCCCTCTCACTTTTTACGCGGACACGACTGAAGTTAAAAATTAATTAGTGTCTTGCCTGAAATCGGGTCTTAGGACAGCAGTTCTATGCTGAATCGCCGCCTCCTCTGGCTTTCTTCGTGTTCTTCTTTTTACATAACACCCAACTCGTGCCGAGAGTTGATGCAATAGGCCTGACTTAATTTATGCTGCCTCACCTACCTATTCTACCTAGATTTTTGCCACTGGATGATGTGTCGCGATGCATAACGACACCAACAAATACCCGCCAAACTGTTTTCCTAATGACAAATTAGTCTAACTATGGCTGTATAACTGCAAAACGTTGGATTATTTCAGAATGACATAGTACTAAAAGTGTGTCTCGCGATGGACTAGTCCACAATCGACTTACCGCAAGCTCATCGAGCCCCTTTATACCCTCATCTACTGCACAAACAGAAAGTATGGAAGATGTTATGACCCGACACACAGATAGAACAGAAAGAGATCCGGTTCGGAAAACGACCACTCTATTGACAGCCTTCAAACACAGGGAGTTACTACGCGTCAGAAACACGCCTTATTTATATGGTCCCCTGTGCGTTCTGGAACATTCCGGCCAATGGTGTGCCAGCATTTGAGAGCGTTCTAGAGCATTCCTGCCCATGGTGTGGCGGTCGCGGATCGGCTATTGCGTGCGTGAGCATTCCCTCCCCAGCCATTGACTGGCCGCACGCGTGGGCAAAGCCATCACGCGTGCTCGATACTGCAGCACACGTTAATTAGCCCTCCAAGTTAACGCACCGCGACCGGCTTGCACGCTGCACGGCGCGTGGATGAGTCGCCGTTTCGCCATAGACAGTGGCTCTGCACCATTTCCGCTCTCCGTAACAGAAGATAAGACGTTTGTGCTAGATAAAAGTGACTCCTGGGGCCAAAGGTTTAGAAAAAGTGGATTAATAAGAATGAGTCTTCGCTCTTAATCATTATTCCAATGGATGATAAGCAATAGGTAACGACCTAGTTCTGTAATGTGTAATTGACGGTAAACTGCGATTCTCAGACAACATTCCGCAAAAACAGGAGGCGCCCGTCGGGATTGTTTTGTTGGGCATTGGGTGTCTCAAGCAGCAAGTTCAGCTACTAAAGTTCGAATAAAGTACAATTCTCTGTACGACTTTCTATGGGATCCTGGATAACGCCCCCCAGAGTGAAAGAAACCCAGCGCTCTATTGGCTTGGATTCGGAAATGATGTCCTTCTGAGTCAATGAGCTATCACTTTCGTACTATTATTGATTTGAGTAGGTGGTCAACATTTATCACTTTCGTACCATTGTTAATTTCAGCAGGCGGATACATTCAAGATGAGGTGCTTCGCAGACTGTTGCGATTATGATTCATCATTGCCCTAGGATTCGGGTTTTACAACCAGGATTTAAGGTTTAGGGTTTATCGTTGGTGTTTGGGGTTAGGGAGTCATTTGACACCCACTTCCTAAGACTTTCATCTACGGATTACGTCTGACTTGTCACATTCTTGGGCTGTTCAGTTTCCATGATCTTGACAGGCCACCCACATATATTCTCCGCTTAATAGGTTTTACTGGCTACCTGCGACTAGTTTTTCGTATTTCGCGACGCTTAATCTGAGACTTAATAGTCACTAAAGCAAACTAGCATATTTACCCATAATACCTGGGATTTTCCCTTAGTTTTCGCGCGTTATGTACTGGTTTTCCGCAGCCCCACTCATTATAGACGCGCCTGTGTGCCCCAATTTCCCGGCATGAATGCGTTTCCGAGCCGATTATAGACAAAACAGAAGCTCCCCGCATTGTTTTTTAAGTTTGTCTCTTAATTCCAGCTCGATCTCATGACAAATTGATGCACAAGGTCTCTTCTTTCGACCCATATTGGTGGAGCTTCCGTAGAGAAACCTGAATACTTAACAGAAGCAGAAAAAGTGTTCGCAGAATGAGGTGAATGCGTGGTTTGGCGTTTTAAACAATGCATGCAACTGCCCATCATCAGAGTCCGAGATTTGTAGAGGTCGCTTTAAAAGGCCCTAGAGGAGGGCGTCCCGTTTCGCACGCCCCAAGAACCGGTTGCGGATGACTCATCCACCGGGTTCGACCATTCGGACTTCCCCACCCCCCGCCACCGCCGCCTTCCTCAGCCGCGGAGATAACTGGCGGACTTCAAGACCAAACTCATAGTTAAAGACCGCGTACGTCAAAGTGGCACAAACTTGACCTTGCCTTGTTTAATTTACGAGGAAATTAATGGGCAAACTTAGAGTACGTCCTTCGGGACTGACCTTTTCGGTCACGGTCCAGAATTTGATACGACTATTTGGGCTGAATTTAGTAATTATTTAACGTACTGACAATATCTGTTCACGAAGAATTTACTCCAAGTTTGCGTTTTAATTCCCTCGGAAATTAAACAAGGCAGGATGAAACCAGAGTTCATGTACCTGAAAACACACGGGGAGCTGTGGCGGTCAAGGATGTAAGATCAACCGTAACTGCACACAATAATTTCGTTCCGTCTTATGTCAGAAGTAAGGGAGCTGTGAGTACAGGTTCATTCTGCACACAGGGCAGTTTGCCGTGAGTTGGCTGTTCGCTTGTGATAGAGCTAAGCCTCCATAACCGGAGGGCGTCAGTCACGGTGTGTTGTTTACGCGGGCGTGAATGTCTGTGTCAGCAGGAGTGGGTGACTGGTTGAGTGCTGGTCACGTGATTGGACGGATTGGAGAGGCATGGAGTCACCGAAGCTGGACAGGAGGTGCCCTAGTTCTAGCCGGCTGGGGTGGTCGTGTGTCGACGGCCTGTTAACGATTGTCGGGGCCATCGACCGACAAAACTGAGCAGGAGAAAGGGTGACTGAAGCGGCTACTACAACTCCACCTTGACACCAAACGAAGTGAAGGCGTCGACATACTAGCCAACCAAAAATCTGGAGGAGGCATCACTGTCTGCGGCGGGGTACAGTGTTGGGGTGAGCAATGATCACTGTCTTCGATGTAGGCCAGCTTGACACGATCAATGCTGACTGTGTCGGTGTTGCTAATGCGATCGATGACAACATCTTTGTCAGATCGAGAAGGACTATACGGCCCGCCATAGGGTGGTTGGCGTGGTCTCGGACAGCGTCATGCCGAACCCAGACGAAATCGCCCGTATCCAGGTCGGGAGGGATTAAGAAATTGCCCGGTGAGGCCCGAGGGGGCGTTTCGCAGAGATTTGCATGAAACTACGTTACCGCTCCACACAACTTCAAGGTTCAAAAAACGTTAGCACGTTTGAAGGCGATAACAACTCACCGGGCAGTCGTAGGGAAGTTCTGTAGACAAGATCAGCTGCACTGCAACCGATATCGGCCTTGAGAGTGGGACGGAGGGACATTATCAAGGGAAGGTGATCGGACCATCGAGAAGGATCGAGTTGGGCCATTAGGGCAGTCTTGAGCTGTCGGTGGAAACGTTCAACGAGACCATTTGCTTGAGGGTGGTATGCTGTTGTTGGAATTCGATTGGTGCCGAGATGGGAAGTGAGCTTGCAAAACAACGTGGACTCGAATTAGGAGCCCCAATTAGTGGTAACCGCTGCAGGAACTCCAAAATTAGACACCCAATGGGTCAGGAATGCTTTTGCCACGGTTTTGACACTGATGTCCGGAATGGGGACAGCAACCGGCCACCGAGTAAAGCGGTCAATGCATGTCAGCATATAGGCGGCACCGTTAGATAGTGGAAGCGGACCTACCAGGCCAATGTGTATATGACTGAAACGTACATCAGGAGTAGCGAAGGCACCTGGCGGGGTAACAGTATGCCGATGGACGTTAGTGAACTGACACGGTAGACAGGATCGGGTCCAACGTCGTACATCCCGGTTGATGTTAGACCAGACGAATCGGTCAGTGATGAGATTCACTGCCGCCCGGACTCCAGGGTGGGATAGATTGTGAAGAGCGTTGAACACTTGTCGTCGTAAAGTTGCTGGGACAAAAGGACATTCGTGTCCGGTAGAAAGGTCACACGTTATGGTGCCAACGCCAGTGGGAAGGGGGACCTCTTAAAGACGTAAAGAAGAATCCTCTTGGCGGTATTGGGAGAGTTCGTCATCTGATCGTGGAGCCTCAGCCATGAGTGTGAAGTCTATGGCATCTGTTGCGACGGACTTCATCTCGATTCTCGAGAAAGCATCAGCAACCACGTTGTCCTTACCATGGACATGTTAGGTGTCGCAGGGAAACTGTGAGATGAAATTTAGATGACGAATCTCACAGGGCGAGTATCGATCGGGAGAGGTCATCAGTGCAAAAACGAGTGGCTTTTGGTCTGTTAGAACGACAAATTCGCGACCCTCAAGAAAATGTCGGAAGTGCCGGATGGATAGATAGACAGCAAGGAGTTCTCGGCCGAAGACACTGTAGCGGGTTTCTGCTGGGCTGAGCTTCTTCGAGAAGAACGCCAGCGGTTGTAGAACACCACTAACAGTTTGCTGAAGTGATGCACCAACGGCAGTGTTGGAAGCATCTGTCATGAGAGTTAGAGGGGCATCGGCGCGGGGGTGGGCAAGTAGCGTTGCGATCGCAAGTGCGGCCTTGACGTCATTGAAGGACTTGACGGCATCCTCAGTCATTACTAATGTCTTCTTGTCGTAAGCCAACGGACTGTTGAGTGGCTACAGTATGGTGGCACTATGGGGAAGAAAACGGTTATAGTAGTTCACCATCGCCAAGAAGCGGCGTAGCTGATTGATGGTTGTCGAAACGGGAAAAGTTGCTATGGCCGAGACGTTTACAGGGACGGGTTTTATCCCATCAGAGTTCACTTCGTGACCCAGGAAGAGTACACTGGGGACTCCAAACTCCCATTTAGCAGCATCGATTACAACGCCGAAGGAGTTGAGTCGTTCAAAGACTTGTCGAAGATGAATTTCGTGTTCAGTAGCTACAGAACTAGCCACCAGCAAATCATCAATGTTGGCGTAGATGAAGTGGAGACCTCGCAGCACCTGATCAATGAACCTTTGAAAAGTTTGAGTGGTGTTCCTCAGACCAAAAGGCATACGGGTGAATTCGACTAACCCAAAGGGAGTGCTCACTTCAGTTTTCGGCACATCACTGGCCTCGATTGGAGTTTGGTGGTAATCACGAACAAGGCAAATCTTCAGGATAGTCATTGAGTTTAAAGCCCTCTAGTCACCACACGGTCGCCAATCGCCGCTCTTCTTTGGGACGAGATGAAGCCCAACAGCTGTCGGACTGTCAGATGATGTCGAGCGCAAGCCTGTGTTCGAACTATGTCTTGGCAATCTGGAGCAATACGACGTGGTCGACAAGATTTGGGAGGTCCAGTGGTAGAAATGCGGCGGGTGACTGTGTGTCTGATGCCCACTTCTCGAAATGAGGGGTTGGCAGGCGGGGGAACTGCCCAAGGAGTGAGTCGAAAGGACAGTCAGAGATCTGCATAACAGTGAGAGGGTTGACTCAGGGGTCCGATATGTGTGACTGCTATGTTCCTCGTAATCATCGGGAACTTACCACGTCCACATAGAAATACGAAGGCGTGGGCCCTAAAGCAAAATAAACAGGAGACGTGCTCAACCCGGTTCAGGTGTTAATAGTTGCGTTCAGTGGATATGAGAGTGACAGACGATGTCTTCTAAAATCTGTGGGTAAGGAATCATGTGAGGATATTGTGACCGATTAACATTCTTGTAGGTACGCGACCCAAATTCCCCAAGAATTAGTGCTTAACAGTGTACAGATGTGGAACTGTGACCCTTCTCATTTCTATTGGACGTAGAATGAAGTTATCAATACTTCTCCAGACTTATGAACAAAGCATTAATTTCTTATGCTGGAAAGTGCATCACTACCAGACAAATGCTGCATTCTTATTGTAGCACTTACGAGGGGAAATCTTCCAATCATGGAATGACTCCGCAGACGGATGTGCCGAAGAGTCTGTCGACAACGACTTGGAGGGTTCTAGGCTGCTGGAACTTTGATTGAGATGACCGAGTAATGGTTCACTAGCGAGCGAACTGTCATCGTCTTTGTCTACAGAAGTTCCCTTCTTCAGGACGGCGACAGTACCGGTTGAGAGTCCTGCGAAAGCGAATGAGTTTTATGCATTCTTATAGGCCAAATGGAGGATGCAGACAGAAGAGGACGTACCCTGGGCCTTGAGTTGGAGGAATTCGCATCGTGCGCACCAAGATCCACCTCCCTCTACTCCTCTAAGCGATCCGTGCGGATCACGTTCAGGACATTTCATTTGGAAGTGGATTGGTCGTTCCCCTTTTGAGATGACTTCTCCGTGGGATGACTGAATTCCGTATCTAGATTAGAAGTAGGAGTATCTAAACAGAAATTAATGGTGCGAAAATTGATCGGGAGATACGCCTACCTGAGCATCCTCGAGGAGCCAATAGGTTTGAGCGCTGAAGAATTTGGACATCTGGATGAATGACCCTGTGGTGGTGGTGGTGCTGAACTTGGATGGGGTGCCACCAGAGAGGATACCTTGAAGCCGTTGTCGAGTATTCTGTCTTTGCTGCTGTCGCTGCTGCTGCCGTTGCTGCTGCCACTGCTGTCGCTGCTGCTGCTTCCTTGGCTGTCAGTTTTGTTGCTTCTAATTTCGTCATTGGTTATAATATTTCCTTCGCTGCTGTTGTTGTTGCTGCTGTCGCTGCTGCTGCCACTGCTGTTGCCACTGCTTCTTCCTTGGCTGTCAGTTTTGTTGCTTCTAATTTCGTCATTGGTTATAATATTTCCTTCGCTGCTGTTGTTGTTGCTGATGTCGCCGCTGCTGCCGATGCTGCTTCCGTTGCTTCTGTTGCTGCTGCTGTCAGTTTCACTTTTATCATTATTTTCCCTTCCTTCTTTGCATCCGCCGCCGTCACTACTGCTGTCGCTGTCGTTGCCATTTCCGATGTTGTCACAACCGATTCCGTTCGTGCCACTAACTCTGCTGTCGCTGCTGCTTTCGCTTCTGTTATGGACCTTGTCACAGCCAATGTTCCTTCTGTTGTTGCTGTTGCTGCTGCTGCTGCTGCCGCCGCCGCCGTGTCTAAAGACCTCCTCTAGTTCCCTCGTTTCACCTTGATGTTGGTACTGGGGTTCCCGAGATCCGTAGACTGGATCAGTGTATAGATTGTCCTTATGATTGTAATGCTGCTTATGTTGGAGAAGGAGACTGGTGACCGGAGGATCTTGTGTTTTAGGCCGGAGGCTGGTTGAAGTAGCATGAACTACAAAGTAGAGGCAAGTAGACCAAAAAATTTTCATGGCAGATAAGAATGATATTAATCATGCACCATCAGGGCTCATGGGAAACTCGGATCGTGTGCTCTAATTGAATCGAACATTCATTTAAGACTCTCCCCACTACATTTCATAATTTGTCCGACAATCTCTAATCAGTATTAGAGCAAAAAGTTCGACAATATGCCCTTCCTCACTGTCAGTCTACGACTGCGCAAGATAAAAAACGACAATCGGACGAAACCAGATCATAGTTCACTTTAAAAACCTAGCTTCGAAGCATCCAATGCAGTAGCAGTCAAAACTAACAGAGCACTCACCAAGTGGCGATTCTATCGAGTTCCGAGATGGGAAGAGATAACGTGAAATCAAGCTAGTCAGGGACCTGAAGGCATGCCTAACCTTATGTTGCAACAATTCAGGAACAATAAGGGCGATAATGAGGCGAAGGAAATTATCCAAAAAGTTATACATCATCTCTAGACTGTCTGAGACACGATGAACCACCAACTCTGCATTCGTTCTAACGAAAAAGTATCGACCGATATTTCAAAGACCCTGACACCGTGTTAGATCGATGGGCAAGGACATCGCGTGTGTGTGCAGGGTATCTGCATGTTCGTTGGACCGTTGTATGCGGAGTCTACTTTAGACACGTAGGTAATCCTTTTTCATGTCATCGTGTTAACGTATGGACGCTTGCCCTTTGTCTGCTCGTCAAAAAGCGCAATTACCTGCTAAGTCAGAATGATTTTATTAATTGAGAAAATTCTTTTTCCGACTTGGTGCTAAATAACCGCCAGCAACGTTTTTGCCTCACTTTTGTTTACTTAACCCCGGAAGTCCGTTGTCTTTTTTCGTATCCCCAGTATGTTGATTCTACTTTTCTCATTATTTCATAATGATAGTTTTGCCGTCGTTATGCACAGTCTGACATGCACATGACTTTTTATTTCGTGTTTATGAATCCCATACGCGAGTGTGATTTGCCTTTGCAGATGCATTGTATGCACGCGTGAAACAGTCTTAACGGACGGGAATAATTCACTTTTTAAATTAATTATAGGCGAACTGAACTGCTTCCTCGTCGTATGTTTGGCATCTGATGAACGCGCAAGAGGTTAATCGGCATCAGCTTTAATCGAGCAGATTACTTAGTTAAGGAAAATTGTACTTGCAGCCAGTCTATATGCCTTACAAAAATGCCACCTTTTAGGTGACTTGTTTTTTCGATCTGGCAAGCACTCCTTGACCAGGAAAACTTCAGTAAATGCCTGGAAACTCGCTCAAAAATAATACTTCGTTAACATCTGTCAGATTTCGTTCTAGTCGTACACTCCTCACGTGACACAAAACTGTATAGCAGTGTAACAAGGGGAATACTTGAGAGAAAAAGGTGCAGAAGAAAGAAAGAAAAGGTAGTCTACCTCGCTTGAGCGCAATATTTGAGTTTTATGACTCCTGAGGAGTTGTTGGTGGTTTCGATGGTGGTGGAGGAGGAGGAGGAGGAGGAGGAGGAGGAGGAGGAGGAGGAGAACCACAATGGGAGGTTTGCACCGGCGCTTGACGCCCTAATTCGCCCCTCTCACTTTCATCCGTGGACACGGCTGAAGTTAAAAATTAATCAGTGTATTGCCTGAAATCGGGTCTTAGGACAGCAGTTCTATGCTGAATCGCCGCCTCCTCTGGCTTTCTTCGTGTTCTTCTTTTTACATAACACCCAACTCGTGCCGACAATTGATGCAATAGGCCTGACTTAATTTATGCTGCCTCACCTATCTATTCTATTTAGATTTTTGCCACTGGATGATGTTTGCGATGCATAACGACACCAACAAATACCCGCCAAACTGTTTTCCTAATGACAAATTATTCTAACTATGGCTGTATAACTGCAAAACGTAGTATTATTTCAGAATGACATAGTATTAAAAGTGTGTTTCGCGGTGGACTAGTCCACAATCGACTTACCGCAAGCTCCTCGATCCCTTTATATCCTCATCTACTGCACAAAGAGAAAGTATGGAAGATGTTATGATCCGACAAATAGATGGAAACGAAAGAGATCCAGTTCGGAAAACGACCACTTTATTGAAAGCCTTCCGGCCAATGGTGTGCAAGCCTTTGAGAGCGTTCTAGAGCATTCCTGCCCATGGCGTACCGGTCGCGGATTGGCTATTGCGTGCGTGAGAATTTCCTCACCGAAAAGTCCTGAATATTAGACGAGCCATTAACTGGGCCGCACGCGTGGGCAAAGCCATCCCGCATGCTCGATACTGCAGCACACGTTAATTGGCCCTCCAAGTTAACGCACCGCGACCGGCTTGCACGCTGAACGGCGCGTGGATGCGTCGCCGTTTCGCCATAGACCGTGGCTCTCCGTAACAGAAGATAAGACGTTTGAGCTAGATAAAAATGGCTTCTGGGGCCAAAGGTTTAGAAAAAGAGTGGATTATTAAGAATGAGTCTTCGCTCTCAATCATCATTCCAATGGATGATAACCAATCGGTAACGACCTAATTCTGTAATGTGTACTTGATGGTAAACTGCGATTCTCAGACAACATTCCGCAAAAACAGGAGGCACCCATCGGGATTGTTTTGCTGGGCATGGGGTATCTCAAGCAGCAAGTTCAGCTACTAAAGTTCGGATAGAGTACAATTCTCCGTACGACTTTCTATGGGATCCTGGGTAACGCCCCCCCAGAGTGAAAGAAACCCAGCGCTCTATTGGGTTGGATATGGAAACGATGTCCTGCTTAGTCAATAAGTTATCACTTTCGTACTATTATTGATTTGAGTAGGTGGTCAGGATTTATCACTTTCGTACCATTGTTAATTTCAGCAGGCGGATACATTCAAGATGAGGTGCTTCGCAGACTGTTGCGATTATGATTCATCATTACCCTAGGATTCGGGTTTTACAATTAGGATTTAAGGCTTACGGTTTAACGTTGGTGTTTGGGGTTAGGGAGTCATTTGGCACCCACTTCCTAAGACTTTCATCTACGGTTTACGTCTGATTTGTCACATTCTTTGGCTGCTCAGTTTCCATGATCTTGACAGGCCAAACACATATTCTCCGCTTAATAAGTTTTTACTGGCTACCTGCGGCTAGTTTTTTGCGACGCTTAATCTGAGACTTAATAGTCACTAAAGCAAACTAGCATATTTACCCATAATACCTGAGATTTTCCCTTAGTTTTCGCGCGTTATGTACTGGTTTTCCGCAGCCCCACTCGTTATGGACGCGCCTGTGTGTCCCAATTTCCCGGTAAGAATGCGTTTCCGAGCCGATTATAGACAAAACATAAGCTCCCCGTATTTTTTTTAAAGTTTGTCTCTTAATTCCAGCTCGATCTCATGACACATTGACGCACAAGGTCTCTTCTTTCGACCCATATTGATGGAGCTTCCGTAGAGAAACCTGAATACTTAACAGAAGCAGAAAAAGTGTTCGCAGAATGAGGTGAATGCGTGGTTTGGCGTTTTAAACAATGCATGCAACTGCCCATCATCAGAGCCCGAGATTTGTAGAGGTCGCTTTAAAAGGCCCTAGAGGAGGGCGTCCCGTTTCGCACGCCCCAAGAACCGCTTGCGGATGACTCATCCACCGGGTTCGAACATTCAGGCTTTCCCACCCCCGCCACCTTCCTCAGCCGCGGAGATAATTGGCGGACTTCAAGACCAAACTCCCAGTTAAAGACCGCGTATGTAAAAGTGGCACAAACTTGACCTTGCCTTGTTTAATTTCCGAGGAAATTAATGAACAAACTTAGAGCACATCCTTCGGGACTGACCTTTTCGGTCACGGTCCAAAATTTGATACGACTGTTTGGGCTGAATTTAGTAATTATTTAACGTACTGACAATATCTGTTGACGAAGAACTTACTCCAAGTTTGCGTATTAGTTCCCTCGGAAATTAAACAAGGCAGGATGAAACCAGAGTCCATGTACCTGAAAGCACACGGGGAGGTGTGGCGGTCAAGGATGTAAGATCAATTGTAACTGTACACAATAATTTCGTTCCGTCTTATGTCAGAAGTAAGGGAGCTGTGAGAACAGGTTCGTTATGTACACAGGGCAGGTTGCCGTGAGTTGGCTGTTCGCTTGTGATAGAGCTAAGCGTCCATAACCGGAGGGCGTCACTCGCGGTGTGTTGTTTACGCGGGCGTGAATGTCTGTGTCAGCAGGAGTGGGTGACTGGTTGAGTGTTGGTCACGTCATTGGACGGATTGGGGGAGGCATAGGGGGGCGCATACTCACAAGGCCTCAGGGGTATCAAGCCAGGCCGTCCGACACGCATGATGTGATTAGAGTTATTGAGGGCAGCCGGGAGTCACCGAAGCTGGACAGGAGGTGCCCTGATCCTAGCCGGCTGGGGTGGGCGTGTGTCGACGGCATGTTAGCGATTGTCGGGGCCATCGACCGACAAAACTGAGCCGGAGAAAGGGTGACTGAAGCGGCTGCTACAACTCCACCTTGACACCAAACGAAGTGAAGGCGTCGACATGATAGCCAACCGCAAACCTGTCGGCCCAGTGGACGTGACGGCCAGATCGTGTGCGGCGAACCGGAGGTGGGTTGTCGCCAGTAGGTGGAGGAGGCATCACTGTCTGCGGCGGGGTACAGTGTTGGGGTGAGGAATGGTCACTGTCTTCGATGTAGGCCAGCTTGACACGATCAATGCTGACTGTGCCGGTGTTGCCAATGCGATCAATGACAACATCATTGTCAGATCGACGAAGGACTATACGGCCCGCCATAGGGTGGTTGGAGTGGTCTTGGACAGCGTCATGCCGAACCCAGACGAAATCGCCCGTATCCAGGTCGGGAGGGATGAAGGAATTGCCCGGTGAGGCCCGAGGGGGCGTTTCGCAGAGATTTACATGAAACTACGTAACCGCTCCACACAACTTCAAGGTTCAAAAAACGTTAGCACGTTTGAAGAAGATACCAACTCTCCGGGCAGTCGTAGGGAAGTTCTGTAGACAAGATCAGCTGCACTGCAACCGATGCCGGCCTTGAGAGTGGGACAGAGGGACATCATCAAGGGAAGGTGATCAGACCATCGAGAAGGGTCGGGTTGGGCCATTAGGGCAGTCTTGAGCTGTCGGTGGAAACGTTCAACGAGACCATTTGCTTGAGGGTGGTATGCTGCTGTTCGAATTCGATTGGTACCGAGATGGGAAGTGAGCTTGCAAAGCAACGTGGGCTCGAATTATGATCCCCAATCAGTGGTAACCGCCGCAGAAACTCCAAAATTAGACACCCAATGGGTCAGGAAGGCCTTTTTCACGGTTTCGACACTGATGTCCGGAATGGGGGCAGCAACCGGCCACCGAGTAAAGCGGTCAATGCATGTTAGCACACAGGCAGAATCGTTAGATGATGGAAGCGGACCTACCAGGTCAATGTGTATATGACTGAAACGTACATCAGGAGTGGCGAAGGCACCTGGCGGGGTAACAGTATGCCGATGAACGTTTGCGAACTGACACGGTAGACAGGATCGGGTCTAACGTCGTACATGCCGGTTGATGTTAGACCAGACGAATTGGTCAGTGGCGAGATTCACTGCCGCCCGGACTCCAGGGTGAGATAGATTGTGAAGAGCGTTGAACACTTGTCGTCGTAAGGTTACTGGGACAAAAGGACATTCGTGTCCGGTAGAAAGGTCACACGTTATGGTGCCAACGCCAGTGGGAAGGGGGACATCTTATAGACGTAAAGAAGAGTCCTCGTCATCTGATCGTTGAGCCTCAGCCATGAGTGTGAAGTCTATGGCATCTGTTGCGACGGACTTCATCTCGATTCTCGAGGAAGCATCAGCAACCACATTGTCCTTACCATGGACATGTTAGGTGTCGCAGGGAAACTGTGAGATGAAATTTAGACGACGAATCTCACGGGGCGAGTATCGATCGGGAGAGGTCCTCAGTGCAAAAACGAGTGGCTTTTGGTCTGTTAGAACGACAAATTCGCGACCCTCAAGAAAATGTCGGAAGTGCCGGATGGATAGATAGACAGCAAGGAATTCTCGGCCGAAGACACTGCAGCGGGTTTCTGCTGGGCTGAGCTTCTTCGAGAAGAAAGCCAGAGGCTGTAGAACGCCACTAACAGTTTGCTGAAGTGATGCACCAACGGCAGTGATGGAAGCATCTGTCATGAGAGTTAGAGGGGCATCGGCGCGGGGGTGAGCAAGCAGTGTTGCGATCGCAAGTGCGGCCTTGACGTCATTGAAGGACTTGACGGCATCCTCAGTCATTACCAGTGTCTTCTTGGCGTAAGCCAACAGACTGTTGAGTGGCTGCAGTATGGTGGCACCATGGGGAAGAAAACGGTTATAGTAGTTCACCATCGCCAAGAAGAGGCGTAACTGATTGATGGTTGTCGAAACGGGGAAAGTTGATATGGCCGAAACGTTTTCAGGGACGGGTTTTATCCCATCAGAGTTCACTTCGTGACCCAGGAAGAGTAGACTGGGGACTCCAAACTCACATTTAACAGCATCTATTACAACGCCGAAGGAGTTGAGTCGTTCAAAAACTTGTCGAAGATGAACCTCGTGTTCAGTAGCTACAGAACTAGCCACCAGCAAACCATCAATTTTGGCGTAGACGAAGTGGAGGCCTCGCTGCACCTGATCAATAAACCGCTGAAAAGTTTGAGTGGCGTTCCTCAGACCAAAGGCCATACGGGTGAATTCGACTAACCCAAAGGGAGTGCTCACTGCAGTTTTCGGTACATCACTGGCCTCGATTGGAGTTTGGTGGTAATCACGAACAAGGCAAATCTTCGGGATAGTCATTGAGTTTAAAGCCCTCTGGTCACCACACGGTCGCCAATCGCCGCTCTTCTTTGGGACGAGATGAAGCCCAACAGCTGTCGGACTGTCAGATGATGTCGAGCGCAGGCATGTGTTCGAACTCTGTCTTGGCAATCTCCAAACGGTCTGGAGCAATACGACGTGGTCGGCAAGATTTGGGAGGTCCAGTGGTAGAGATGCGGCGGGTGACTGTCTGTTTGATGTCCACTTCTCGAAATGAGGGGTTGGGCAGGCGGGGGAACTGCCCAAGGAGTGAGTCGAAAGGACAGTCAGAGATCGGCATAACAGTGAGAGGGTTGACGCAGGGGTCCGATATGTGCGACTGCTATGTTCCTCGTAATCATCGGGAACTTACCACGTCCACATAGAAATACGAAGGCGTGGGCCCTAAAGCAAAATAGACAGGAGACGTGCTAAACCTGGTTCAAGTGTTAGTAGTTGAGTTCGGTAGATATGATAGTGACAGACGATGTCTTCTAAAATCTGTGGGTAGGAAAGCATGTGAGGATATTGTGACCGATTAACATTCTTATAGGTACGCGACCCTAATTCCCCAAGAATTAGTGCTTAACAGTGTACAGATGTGGAACTATAACCCTCCTCATTTCTATTGGACGTAAAATGAAGTTATCAATACTTCTCGAGAATTATGAACAAAGCATTAATTTTTTATGCTGGAATGTGCACCGCTACCAGACAAATGCTGCATTCTTATTATAGCACTTACGCGGAGAAATCTTCCAATCATGAAATGACTCCGCAGTCGGATGTGCCGGAGACTCTGTCGACAACGACTTGGAGGGTTCTAGGCTGCTGGAACTTTGATTGAGATGACCGAGTAATGGTTCACTAGCGAGCGAACTGTCATCGTCTTTGTCTACAGAAGTTCCCTTCTTCAGGACGGCGACAGTACCGGTTGAGAGTCCTGCGAAAGCGAATGAGTTTTATGCATTCTTATAGGCCAAATGGAGGATGCAGACAGAAGAGGACGTACCCTGGGCCTTGAGTTGGAGGAATTCGCATCGTGCGCACCAAGATCCACCTCCCTCTACTCCTCTAAGCGATCCGTGCGGATCACGTTCAGGACATTTCATTTGGAAGTGGATTGGTCGTTCCCCTTTTGAGATAACTTCTCCGTGGGATGACTGAATTCCGTATCTAGATAAGAAGTAGTAGTATTTAAACAGAAATGAATGGTGCGAAAATTGATCGGGAGATACGCCTACCTGAGCATCCTCGAGGAACCAATAGATTTGAGCGCTGAAGAGCTTGGATATCTGAATGAATGACCCTGTGGTGGTGCTGGTGGTGGTGCTGAACTTGGATGGGGTGCCACCAGGAAGGATGCTTTGAAGCCGTTGTCGAATATTCTGTCTTTGCTGCTGCTGCCACTGCTTCTTCCTTGGCTGTCAGTTTTGTTGCTTCTGATTTCGTCACTTGTGCTTACGTTACTGCTGTTGTTGCTGCTGTGACTAATATTTATCCGCCTCATCTACTCTTCTTCAGCCGTTGCTTCTCTGGTATTCCTGTTGTCGCATCCAGCTCGGTCGCTGCCATTAATTTTCACACTGCTTCTGCTCTTATCTTGCTCTAGACGGTCGCGCTATTGCCACTTCTGGCGTAACCATTACTACTTATGCTAAGGCAGACGCATCCGTTTCTCTTTTTACTGTTCTTGTCGACTTTGCAGTTGGTACCATTGATAACCCTGTCGTTAATTTCACCATTATCGCTGTCTTTTTGAATACCTCCACTACCTCGTTCATTTGAATGTACTTTTGCTGGTGGGGTATCCAAGAGTCGCACCGGGGTACTGTGTAGACTGTTCTTCGAATTATAGTGCTGGAAAAGTAGACTGGTGGTTGGGCTTTCTTGTGTTTTAGACGAAGACAGACGAAATTATCGTGCACTACAATTAAGTACTACGGGTACACGAAACACGTAATTAGACAGTGGGTGAAAGAAGGTTCAACTATCAGGAAAGGGGGCATGCTTGTCCCTGGCGCCTTGGGGCTCAAATCGTAGTCCCCCTAGTCAATAGCACGGAAGCCAGTACTGATGCAGATTCGACTACCGGCAAGGGCAATGAGGTTTCAGGTTAACTTATGAGCGCTTTTACCTGTGGGGTGTGTTCCTTTGCAAACCTTTGCTAGTTCAGTTCTTTCTCAGTGTGCTACAATACAACCGGCTCGGTGTCCCCTCGATCGACTGCTTTATGGCTAATGCCTGTACATAACTCGTTAGTACTTATTTGAATCTCCATCTCATTAGTCGCGAGCACTTATCAACCATAGGAAGCCATAAGATGTGGTTTTGGCTGATACATTCATGAGTGATCTTGGAAGAGGCTTGTTGAGAATGCCAGCTTAAATTTTGTCCTGTAGATGTTGTGCAGATAGTATTTTTATATTTTTGTGATTTGAGATCCTTTGTCATGGTCAAGTTACGCATTTCGAGCAGAGATCCTTTGGGAGCCAGACACACGGCAGTTGCATTAATCGACTAATTACGTGAACCTGCCGGTGTCTGCCGGACTCTGTTTGTGCGGCTCAGTCAACGCAACGGCGGAAGAAAAAGCAAGTGGGTACACGGGCGCAAGTCGCAGCGTTGAAGCGGAAACAATGACCTATGTAAGTGCTGGCGCTGATTCCGTCATTGAAGCTGAAAGGTGGCGACACGCACGTCCCACTCCTCATTTAGCCTTTCCGATACGCATCTCAGATGAGGCATTACGGCGAGTAGAGTGACAGCTGTGACCAGCTCTACGATCATACTCTCCATTCTTGTCGTGGATTCTGAACCTACGACCTCGGGATCGACGATTCGCCAGGGCAATCAACATCATCTTTTGATTTCCTCGAGAATGGAGATGTCAATGCATTCGGAATGACACGATAATAAACAAGCGGCTTGTCAGGCCTCTTATTCTCCCCACCTACTTAGTTATATTTTCTGCCGTATAGTTGGCGTTGCGCAATCCCACTCCATGAACAGGATATTTGGCCTAGCATAACTGCTGACAGCAATGCACCGCCGTGGGAAATGAAAAGTTCAATGGTTTTGTGAAATGCACACCCTAAAATCAACGTTGTAGCCTTTCAAGTGGCACGATAAAGACATCTGTGGTTACCGGAGACTTTCAATGAAAGACAAACAGACATCTCCCAAACATCCTAATTATGCTTATTCCATCTCGATCTGACCACAAACACGAAGAATTCACTCTTCATTTTGATGTGTAGGTTTTGTGGGTAATAGCCCATTGTTGTCATCACGTCTGGTAAGTCTACTGTTGCCTTTTCGTACTACTTAATTCACGGAGGTAGCTGGAATTAACGAATTAAACGACGACGCCCGAAAGCTAGCAAACGAATCGCCTATGACGTTATTAACATGGGTTAGGGTTGGGATCACGGCGGGATTTCGTGGCTCTATGCTACCTACTTCATCATCACTCTTTACTGGTGTGCACACCAAATCACACTCACAGCCAGTCATCCTCAGCGTCATGGCTAGTTAGACGTTCTCGTAGATTACTTCACTGACGCATCTTGCAGTTTCGTCAGGATGTGCTTAGACAAATAAACATCACTTACGGGAGGTTTTATTATCGCGCATTTCCTAGACCGTTTTTTCGTGATTCCTGGTGTTTCCATCCTACCTTTGATATTCGTGACCTAGTTGTTGACTTTAAGAAAGGGATAATGACATGAGTTTCCAACGAACCGGGGCACTGTGAAGTAGAAATGACAATTTTCGGACAGCTGCGAAAAGTTCATAGCTGCCGAAATAAAAAGAATATTTTCAATGAAGCACACAAATTAGATATGTTAGAACTTGCTAGTAAAATGGACCAATAATTCAACCACGTTGCTAATTGCAACTAGGAGCCTGTAGAAACAGCAATTTCGTGAATCACAAGCCAGGTCACTGAGAGGTGCGGTAAATGAACCAATATTCCCGCATAAGCTGAGTTTCTTGCATTTTTTTAGAGGAGTTAGTAATGTGGACATGTCCATGTTTAGCTAAGATTTTCTGAGTCTGATAACTGCAATTAATTCGTCGTAAGTGAAAAACGCATTTACATAACTGATAGATTGATTTAGCAGCTTTATTGCAGTCACTCAACTAGTCGTTCACTCATTTAACAGCGAGTTTGACAACGCATGGTAGGAGTTGCAGTACGATATTAAACTAGGGACGATTTTTCCAAGGTTGATAAGTTAGTTCCAATAAAAAAAAAACACAGTACCACTATGGGGAACCCGATCTGTCGAAGTCAAGGAGCGGTAATTCAAGAATAATTGTACATTTTAGGCACTGTAATCATATCAATGACATAGTCCTTTATAAGTAAAAACATTCAAACAAGCTGTATGCAAGGCTCTGTTGCTTTAAACATTGTTAAGTTTACATTTGGTCAGAATACCTGTGTCAGAATGCTAAGATTGTGGGCCGGTACTTTGTGCCTACTTTTGTGAGGACAGGATTTGAAAACTAAGGATTTCTTCGTCTAATAAACTCTCCATAACTGAAATAAGCTTTTCATGCCCAAAAAATTCCGGGCCAAGTATTCAACCACCACATTTTAACATACAGGATTCACTTTGGTTGTCTCAAAAGAAGTGCATTTTTAGACACCTCTCCGATTCTTAACGCATACGCCCACACTAAGCGGTTTCAGGATGTAAAATTAACAAGAGCATGGGTAGCAAAATGTTGTAATATGCAAAATACGCTGGGATGGTTTTCCATAGAAACATAAATTTTGGAGTAGCGGTGATAAAGCGTTAGAGAGCAACAATAATTTACTCATCATCCATTCTGTGAAAGGACCGAGAATGATCTGCTGTGCATCGGCTCTAAAGATCGAGTGGGCAGTTGGCTACCCCTAACGAATCCACAGCATATGCTCCAGAAGACTTCTGTGCATGGGACTCCAAGAAAATTCCCAGTGTCTAACATATATCCTAAGGCGACGT